ACTGCATTCTCCGTTCCCGCCCACAACTCCATTCTCGCCCGCCACTCCGATGTTTATCCTTCCCTTCTCCATTCCAATTCCGGCCGCCGCCAGCTGGATTTCTGTCGCTCGCAGCTCTCTCGCCCACAAACCCGATCCCCCACCAACATTCCACGTTCCAACTCGATCCCGATCCAACCCGATCTCCTCATTCTCGCCCTTCGTGCTTTTCCGCAGCCCCCCACCCCCATGCTTATCCGCACATCCCATCCCCACCCTTCCGATTTTCGACCACCACATGGATTTCTGCACGCACGCTCCACTCTTGCCCACCAATCCGATTCCCGCCCGTCATCCCGATCCTGGATACACTTCCCATTCCCACCCGCCAACTTACCCGCTAGGTGGATTCCCACTCACTCTCCCCGTTGCCACCCGCCAGGCGTGGATTCCCATTCGCACTTCCCATTCCTGCTCACCAATCCGATTCCCACCCTCAGGCCCTACCCCCACCCCATTCCCGATCCCCAAGCTCATGTCCAGCGCGTGTTTTTCGTGAACAAGCATGACCTCCCTACGTTCTTCTCATGAATACTTCTTATGAACTTCGTGATTCCTCATTAAGCAGCTCTTGGATTTGTGTTTCACTTCCCGCCCTCTCCATGTTCGCCTAGATAATAAATTTCCATTTACCGATTTGTGTCATAGATTTCCTTAAGTTTTATTTTACCTAACAGTTCTCTAAGAGTTCGCCTGAAAGGCCTAGAATTTACTTTTAAAGCTTGGCTACACTTTAAATCACTTTGGGCACATCACCCCGTCTTTCTTTTGTCAGAATCATGAACTAACTTTGCATTCAGTTTTTTAGAAATATGATGCATCAATTTTAAAAATGTTTGTGTTAAAACTAATTACTTGGGAAAGGATTCTGAGATTCAAATTATGGTCATAAAAGGGGGTAAATGGGGGAAAATAGGTTCTGAAAATATATACAAAAAGGTGCTTCTTAAACATCTGTATTAAGGGTTAAACCAGTTACATGAACTAAGTTTCTATAATATTTGTATCATTTTGTATCAATTTTTTCTTCTTTATAGAGTCCGTAAGAAGTGATTCATAATACTTTATCCAATACTGTAGAAGATAGAAAACATTAGCTATTGCTAGTACTGACTAAACTTATCTTTCCCTGCGGATTGCGTAGTAGAACGTCCTTTGTAGGTGTGTCAAACTGCACCTGCATGAGCACTTGCCCAAGTGAGAAGCTCTGTGCTCTTGCAATCACAGGAAATTTCCCCTGACTCCCGTTTTCTTTCCCCTTCAAATCCACGAGCGCTGCCAGTGCTCTTTTAGTATTGAGGTGACACAATGGCAATGGTAAACGTTTTCCTCAGGTCACAGACAAGTGATAAGGAATCATACACTTTCATGAAATGGTCATTAAGTGTCTTAAAGCAAATTTAACGCCTAATTATCATCTTGCCCGCCTCACACTTAATTGATAGTTGTGTTATTATTGTGTCAATCATATCAGAACTTAATCAAAATTTATGGATCAATTATTATTACTGGCCTACGAAATGACTGTCATATTTTCAAATTAATAATAGTCTTTACGGAGACAATTTTTTAAATTGTACAATCAAACATTTTATTTAAAGTAATAAAACAATTTTCCGTTTTTTTCCCTGAGCCATACAGTGTTGTTGAGTGGGACCCATTTTCACGTATTTTAAAAATGCTGAATTAAATGTATATTATGAGACTTTTTTAACTTTCTGAAAGTTTCAAAAACTGTTAAAGTTCAAGATCAGCAAACGCATTGGACACTTTTTATATTAAATGTTCACTAAGAGTCAATTACAATTTTTCTCTGTAATTTTTTAGTCTGCTGGTGACCTTTCAAACAATGTCTTTCAAGTCATCTCTAACAACTTCACTGTTCAGAGGAATTTTCAGACTTAGTAATCCATTTTCCTACTGTTTTACAGGAAATCGTGACTCCTGATCTACTATATGAGAAAGTCATAGAGGTCGAATGTCGTGTGGTACCAGCTCTTCCTGGACGATGTCGCCTACAAGAAGAAGCAGCAGGCAACTACAACAAGTGGCGCCAAGTTCAAGGAACCACTGGCGAACTCCTTTTTGTGGCTCAGGAATTGAATGTCGAAAAGCTCAAGGAAGATCTCAAAGATTTACAAAAACAGGGGATTGAAAGCATTGCAGTTGTACTGGCCCATTCCTACACGTAAGTACCAAGAGGAATTTCTACTTTCAAGTATTCTCAAAAATTTGTTGTCATTGTTATCATGTTAATTTCAATTAAGAAAAATTAAAGGAAAAAATTATCTTACTAATTCATTTTCAAAACAAATTGAAAGCACCTCTTATTTTGTGAAATCATCTGTGAATGAATAATATCTATGTAAATTTTCAACAATGGAAAAATTAAACATCAATTCATTTTATAAAATTGTGTTTTATAGCAACTTATGTAAAACTTCAGAAAAAAAACTTTTTGAAAAATCTTTTGATAAATCTGTAATTCTGATTTTCTTGTATAATTATTTCCTTTCAATACTTTTTTTATGTTTTATAATTTTCTAAAAGGTATTTGGATCATGAAATTAAAATTGGGGAAGTAGCTCAATCCTTGGGATTCAAACACATTTCACTGTCACATCAAGTGATGCCAATGGTTCGCATTGTTCCACGTGGATTTACTGCTTGTGCAGATGCGTACCTCACTCCCCATATAAAAAAATATGTGCAAGGATTTGCATCAGGATTCAAAAACAATCTTAAGGATGTAAATGTCCTCTTTATGCAAAGTGATGGAGGACTGACTCCAATGGATGTGTAAGTAGAGCATTGTGAAAGATAATTCAAACTAGATTACTAATATACCTGATCTGCTGGATTCCTTATCAGCTATCCTATATTTCTAGAAATCATTCATCAACACAAATTAGGGAATTAACATAATTTTTATGAAGTATGACATTAAAATAAAATATTATATTGGTTATGGATAAACTAATATGAAGTTCAGGAGTAAACATATTTTATTTACTGTATTAGTTTTTCCTCTTGTAACATCAGTTAATCAGTCACTATTAATTTAAATACTTCAGATAGACATGTCAAGTATTTTAAATTCAAAAACTTTCTTCCGAACTCACTAGAAATATAGCAAACAGAAAGATTGTATATATTTTTCTTTAAATGTTTGATGTAATAATCCTATAGTATGCCTATTTGCAAACTTTTAATGCTGATTTATTATACAGGTTCAATGGAGCCCGTGCAGTTTTGTCTGGCCCTGCTGGAGGAGTAGTGGGATATGCAGTTACTACTTACCACAAAGAAACCGAACTTCCTGTGATAGGCTTTGACATGGGAGGAACGTCCACTGATGTCAGCCGTTATGCAGGAGAATATGAACATGTTTTTGAATCAACAACTGCTGGTGTTACTATTCAGGCTCCTCAGGTAATATTCTTAAATATATATATTTTTGACATTTCAACAGATAACTGATTGAAGCAAATGACATCTAGATAAAACTTGAAAGAAAAAAAGGAGAAAGAAAAATATCTAATGCACAATATGCGACATCAAAATTAGTCATGGGTACAATTTGACACCCAACTTCATAAAACTCTTTAGAGCTCTCAAAACCATTTTCTTTAGAACAAGATGAGGAAATAGGAGTTTTGAAGAACATCAAGTAGTGAATTTTCGTGAGTTAATGGGAAATATTGCAAAATATTGAGAAAAAGAAATGGTATGTAAATCAATAATTTATACACTACACAGTACTACATCTATATTTGTCAAATTAATAATAATCATAAATAGGTTTTAAAAAAGGTAACCATATCACAAATAGTTACATATACAGAACATGTAACTTTAATTTATTGAAAGAAAGAAAATCACTTGTCCTGTAAAACAGACTTGTGACATTGACCCTTATATCTCCAAGCACCGTATTTAATCTTTTATAATTATTTTATTGAACTGTTTTATCTATGGTAGGAGACCTCTACTCATATGGATAAATTGAAGCTCCAAATTTACAAGAAGAATCTAAACTCTCTAAAAACTGTAAGAAGTCCCAACCGAGATTGAAGTTGGAGTTGTTCTATTAACTTAATGTTCTCAAAACACTTCACAAACAAGATTATTCTTATAGTTTTAGAACTCTTCGTTCCGATGCAACAAATCAATGAATTTCTAATTTATTTCTATGTCCCACTGATAAAGAGAACATCAACAGCATTGTGTCCCTGTCACAGTGTGACCCTGCACAGTTAAAGGTTTTAAACTTCTCTTCTAGAAAAAATTAGGCAGTGTTTTATATATGCTTACAGAACAGTTTTTTCATTTTTAGCCATGAGTCATTTTCTAAAGTTTGTCGGTAGAATTCAGATTCATTAAAATCTAAGCATGTAATATGGTTTCAGATTAAAATCGCCTAAATGAAAATAAGGTTTTGACACATTCCAACTCAACTGTCAGATCTACAACATGGTATTAAAACAGTTCTAAAATCAGACTTGTAGAAAACCTTTTAACAAAGTGTTATAACACTTTGTGCTTCATTATTAGTTATTTTCTTTCAAAAAGTCCTCTTGTAAATTTTGCCACAAGTCTGATGCAACCTCTGAAGCTGTGATATATTTAAATGGAAAGCTAATGACCTGAATTTGCTAAATCTAGGATTTTTTATGAGAACAAAACTTGTACAAGATGTATGCCCAAAGAGAGTTCCGCATTAACCTGTATACTTCAAAGCCTAACAACAAAATAAGACAAGTTTAGGAACTCTTGGCCTGGAGTAGTTTAATTCATTACCACACTTAAGAATGGGATTAGCACCTGTACTGGATGGGCCTTATACATTTTTAAATCAATTTTTTTTTATTAGTTCCTCATTATGAAATAACAGACTGAATAATATTACTAATGGTAATAAAATTAAGGAATTTATTACAGATCTTAAAAGTTGAATAATTTTAAGGTATAGGAAGAATAATTATAAGAAATAACAATGAATTTCAAATTGTTTGAATCAAACAGAATGTTGCATATAAAAATAAAATTATTCATTTCAATCATTTAAAAAATTTGCCATTAAAATTTCTAAAAGAATCAGACTAAGAACCAGATTCTTAAAATTGATTTTTTAAACTCTATAGTAGTCCATAAACACTTGCATTTCTAAACATAACAATTGAACGAGTCTGAAGTGCAATGTAATGTTTCACATCTATAAATGAGTTTTTGCATTATTTTGATTTTTTAGTGGGCCCTAAAAATATTTATTTGGGTCTGTTCCAAGGTCACACTAACAAGTATTCCCAAAGAAAACATGTCACGAACAAGTTTTATTCTAATAAGAGAAAGAGGCTAACAGCTAAATGCATTTTATTGCAGATAGTTTCTTATGTTTGCAGCTGGATGTCAACACTGTAGCAGCTGGTGGAGGCTCTATGCTCTTCTTCCGATCGGGCTTGTTCGTTGTGGGTCCCGAGTCAGCAGGAGCACACCCTGGACCTGTCTGCTATCGCAAAGGAGGCCCTCTCACAGTCACAGATGCAAATCTATGTTTGGGAAGATTGTTACCAGAATACTTTCCCAAAATATTTGGCCCTGGAGAAAATGAACCTCTTGATCAGGATGCAACTAACAAATCTTTTGAAAAATTGACACAAGAGGTAAATTTAGTTGATTTTAGTTACATTTTTAATTCCATAGTATTTTCCATTATTTCAACTAAGAAAATTTCTTCAACTACTACAAAATTTTGATACATCCTTCTACATCATTGGTACACAAAGAGTTATTTTATACTGTAGTAAATAATTCACAAGAGTGGTAGTGACACAGATTGTGACATGAAAAATTGAAATGCTAATTTCCAACCTTACTGTTCGTTAATGACTAACTTTTAATTTACCACAAAAATTATATTTGTAGAGGGTAATGGGAAAGGGAAAATTCTATAATTGATTTGAAAACCTCAGCTCAACCCCAAGACTTTTAGATATTTTTTGATTACAGATTTATTCTGATTTTTCAAAGTTTCCTCTTTTCTTTCCCTTATTCAGAGACAATTTTTCTTTCCCTTCTTCTTCTTCTTTTTGTTTTAAAACTCTTATATGAATATTTGTATTATAGACAGTTCTACATTTATATTAAAATTGATCTGAATTTTCTATAGATTAACGAGTTTCTTGCATCTCAACCATCAAAAGATGGTTCCAAGAACAGTATGACCACTGAAGAAGTCGCCATGGGATTCATAAGAGTAGCTAATGAAGCAATGTGTCGTCCAATAAGAGCTCTCACCCAGGTGAAATTTTACGAGTCAAAACCCTTTCTTTTTCTTTTCTTCTTTTTAATAAGTACAAAACTAAATTTAAAATTATTTTTCCATTACAGGCAAAAGGTTATGATACTGCACGTCATGTGTTGGCATGTTTTGGAGGAGCAGGAGGGCAACATGCCTGCTCTATTGCTCGAGCATTGGGCATGGGAACAGTGTTTGTTCACAAATATGCTGGGATTTTGTCAGCATACGGAATGGCTCTTGCTGATGTTGTTCATGAAGCACAAGAACCTTGTGCAAAAGTTTATGAACAAGGTGGGAACGAAGTTATTGATTGTCTCTCTGACTCTTTCCAGACAAGTCAAATAAAAAGTTATTTATAAGAAACATCAAATTTAGAGTCATAAGTAACTACCAAAACTTTGCCAGTAAAACAATCCACTGGAAAAACTAGTAAAATCTATTTTGAAATATTTTGTGATTTTCTCAGAGTATTCATTATATATTCTAAAGCTAAGTACACGTGAATCTGTATTTCTAAAAAAATGCAATTTATTGATACAGGTTCCTTTGCATACTTGGATGAGCACTTATCACTATTAGAAGACCAGTGCTTTGAAGAGTTGACTAAGCAAGGATTTGCTCCATCACAAATTGAAACGGAAGCTTTTCTTCACCTTCGATATGATGGCACTGACTGTGCGCTCATGTGTTCTGCCCATTCCAAAACAGCAACTACGTCAAGCGGATCACCAACTAAGCATGGAGATTTCAAAGCTACTTTTCTGCAAAGGTGAGATACTGCATTTGAAGTACTTTAGAAAATAATTTGTATGAAAGGTTTTTTTTCTCACTATATTTCTAAAATTAAAGCAACGGAAATTTTAAAATATCAAGGAGACCAAAGCATATTTTCATTGTTTTGTATTATTTTGTTGAAAAGCAAAGATATTTTTTTCTAATTCTAGTATTAATTATTCGCGTGTGAATTGCGATAGTGGGTAGATGTACGGCAGTTAATCTCCTTTGAATTGTTCGTCAAATTATAAGCATCATTCAGCATTACAGATGGGTTAATTTAGTGCTAATGTATTTACATTTAATTCTTATCTGTTATCATTTTTAAGAAAAATTTCTCTTCTACTACCATTTTATACATATTCAAAAAAGATCTTTTGTGTAATGTTATGGTTTTTGTTATTGCTCCTGTAATTCTTCCATTTCATATTGTTTATTTTAATTTAGTTACAACTGATTTTTTTAACTATAGAAAACATAGAAAAAATTTTAAAAAATCATTTATGGTAATATATGCAAATGACTAGACTTATGAGTTTTCTGAATACATACTTCTCGCCATGTAAAATAAGGCATTAATTCAATTCAATTCAATTCATACTTCTCTTACATCTTTTGATACAGAAAGCATTTAAGGTGAATCAAATTATATTTACGTTAAGTATTTGCCAACATTTGCAATTCAAAAATACTAAATCACTAATTTTCATTTGAAATTCATCTTGGAGTAATCCTAAATATCATATGGACCAAAGGTTTATTTTAAGAATTCTGAGATTTTAATTTCAATTTGTTTAATTTTCCACTTAATATTTAAATCATCTAATCCAGTTCCTTGTTGTTCTGAGAGAATTTGAAGAGAGACTCAGTAATATGAACCATGTTATCACAACCACTGATTAAATTTCAAAATCCATTATTTTACAGGTATCAGTGTGAATTTGGGTTTACACTTCCAAACCGTCAAATCATTGTTGATGATATTCGTGTAAGAGGGGTTGGGAAGTCACTCATTCACACCGAAGAGGAAGTTGCCAGTGCTGATGGACCTCCAAAAGAAGAGAAGGTAGAGAGAGAAAACAATAATCCCTTGATCTTGAGATTTATAACTTTTGAAATAAATGTATGAAAGTGTTAATCAAATGTTCTATTGCTCTCTGAAGTGTGAAAGAAGGTCCAAATTCTACAATATTTATTATAAATTTTCCTTAAATTTAAAACCGCGCATTTTAGACATCCAGTTGTTTTCTTTTTAATTAAGAAGTAGTAGAACAAAGACTTCATTTAAACCACACATGCACATTAATTATTTAAAGTTGATTGTTTTGGAACTTCGCTTATTTGTATATAGTCATTATCAGGGACCAGTTGTTTATGGTTAATATTCCTATTATTTCCCATCTTTTACATGTTAGATTTTTTCGTATCTGTTTACTCCCTTACTTAAGTTATATATCATATAAAGTTTTATTTAGTTTGATTTTATTTGTTTCTAAAACATTCAAAAAACACTTTCACCCAAAATTTACTGACAATAACTTCTAAGTCTGTGAATAAGTTCTTATCATTTCAAATTCATTCTAAAAATTGTTATTGTTTGAAGCTTAAAATTACGCGTCATCTTGCGTTGTGGTTGACAAAGATTCATTACTTCTTGCAATTATGAATTTTGTAAGAAACAGAATTTGAGCCATTGGAAGTTCAGTTTTACATTCACCAACAAGGTCTTTTCAGTTAACTAATTTTCAGGTTTCTTGATCTCTTTTTTGAAGGTTTGGGAATTCAGTTTCAGGTTAAAACCCTCTAACATCTTTGTGAATGACCAACCATTAAGACATTGAATTCCTTCAGTTTTTTTCATCAAGTTTTTTTTGTCTGCCTTGAAACATTTTCTATTACATATCAGGTCTTCTTTCTTTACTGTTGTTTCGAGAGTTAGTACATTTTGAGATCTCTCTTATCAGAAAGATTTTTAAATATTAACAGTAATTTTTTTTTTTTTCTGATTTAATTCCTCTAAGTTATTTCTTGATTATTTTCAGATGGTTAGAGTTTATTTTGAGAATGGATATCATCTTACAAATGTTTATCTTCTGAGTGATTTAAAAGCAGGCCACAATATAAAGGGTCCTGCAATAATAATGGACAATTTGAGCACAATACTTGTAGAACCTGATTGTTCAGCTGAAATCACAAGGGCAGGTGATGTCAAGATCACAATTGGTTCTGGTGAATTGAAGAAAATTGGAACTAAGCTGGATTCAATTCAACTTAGTATTTTTTCACACAGATTCATGAGCATTGCTGAGCAAATGGGAAGGTAAGTAAGGGTTTTTTATTATTTCACCGTAATAATAAATTAATTTAATTTTAGATAAATTAAATACATTTAGTTAACACTTTAATTAAAAAGTAATTCTGAATTTTTCCATTATGATCCCTTACAATTTCTGACAGACATTTTGTAACCCTTGTTATTAATCAGGTGAAAAGATTCAATGTACTACATTGAAATATTTTTATTTCTACACAAAATAACAGAAGCATTGACATAATTGTGATTACAATTTAGCCATAATAGATACTGTGGGCTTTTTATAATTTTTATTACTTCTTTTTATAACTCTGACTCATGTTGCATAATTGAAAAGTTGCATTCAGTACTGTCATTGTAATTCCTTGGATATGTTCCTTACAAGAAATACTAATAAATACATTTGAAGAGAAAAACTGAAATTAAATTTCTGTTTTAAGTAGACTAAAGATGAGAGTTGAGATGAGACAGAAGTTGAGAAAGACGAGTTAACATATTTTGAGAAATAGATATGTTGATAGAAAGTTAATTACAAGTTACAGTTATTGATGAGAAATCTTGATTGGGGCAAAAAGTGCATTTGTGTTTAGTTTCAATTACTTAAAAAAACTTTTCCCCTTCTAATTTTCTGGATGCATATTAATTATAATTTTTTTAACTATCAGATTTAGTGACAATTTATTAATCCACCATCTTATTTGTGTGATTAAAAAAGAATTTTGCAGAGAACAGCTATTTCAACAAACATAAAAGAACGCTTGGACTTTTCATGTGCCTTGTTTGGGCCAGATGGTGGTTTAGTTTCTAATGCTCCACACATTCCTGTTCACCTAGGAGCAATGCAAGAAACAGTTCAATACCAGGTAATGTTCCTTTTGTTGTGCCTTTCTTACTTATGTAATTCAATCACAGCAGTAACATACATTTTTTTATTATTTCAGATGAGAACATTAGGAGATGATTTTGAAGAAGGGGATGTAATATTGGCTAATCATCCTGCTGCAGGAGGATCTCATTTACCTGATCTAACAGTCATAACACCTGTTTTTTATAAGTAAATACACTTTGTGGCATTTTCATTCATTTTAGGACTTAGCCTTATATAACGCACTTAAATATTAAGAGTTTAGTTTTCAAAAACTTGAAACTGTTTCTTTAATTTTTGTTCTAGAAATGTGAAGAGACCAGTATTTTTTGTGGCAAGCAGAGGTCACCATGCTGATATTGGTGGTATAACCCCAGGATCAATGCCACCTCATTCAAAATCTCTGTTAGAAGAAGGAGCTAGCTTCAAAAGTTTCAAACTAGTCAAACGTGGAATCTTCAATGAGAAGGAGCTCATAGATGCGCTGATGGCTCCTGGGAAGATACCAGGAAGCTCTGGGACTCGAAATCTTCAAGATAATCTTTCTGATTTGAAAGCACAAATTGCTGCTAATCACAAGGTATTACTGCAAATACCTCTCTTACTTTCACTCCAAAAATTTCGTTAACTATAAATTTCAAATTAGATGGTCAAAATAATAGAATAATTTTAAATTAAAATTATTAAAAACATTGTATTTATCGTTTTGATATATTATACATTTTTTTTATCAAACTAGATAAATTACTATGCACATTTTTGCAGAAGTTTCAAATTGTTTAGTAGTATTGAAGATAATATTTTTTCTCTCCTTTTCTTTTTCTTTCAGGGAATAACTTTAGTTAGTGAACTTATTGATGCTTATGGTCTTGATGTGGTGCAAGCATACATGGGTCATATCCAATCTAATGCAGAAGTTGCTGTGAGAGACATGCTCAAAGAAATTGGGAAGAGATGTCTTGAACGCAGTGGTTCAACAGTCTTGGAAGCAGTGGAGCATCTTGATGATGGGTCACCAATATGTTTGAAAGTTGAGATAAACATTGACGATGGCTCAGCAATATGTAATTTCAGGTAGGCGAATCTCCATGTCATATTATATCCCAATAGAATATCAGAACTTTCAGAAATATCATTACAACATTACAGAAACTATTTTCATATTTATGTTGTCTTCTTCAAGTACAGCACTGAAATATTAGGAAATTAATATGATATCTCAGTAAGAAAACAATTGCAAATTTGTTTATGTGTACTTGTAAAGTGACGACAAATTCTCATAGCTGATATGTGCTGAAACTGTACTGACTAAATATGTTCATTTTTATTGTATATCTTTCTTGTTTTTAATTAAAAATACATTACAACTTAAATATTACAACTTAGACATCACAATATACCTCATTTTAAGGGATATGATTAGTTATTAGATATTAATATTAACTATAGTTATTAGATATTATATATTAGACATGTATTACATTCGTTCATTAGTTATGATCTTTTAATCATATGTTTATGAATCAGGATTTGACATCCATATTTTTCTGTATTTCTAGTAATAGTACATATATTCATATATTATAGAAGACTCGCTTATCTTTGAATATTTCAACATTTTATACACAATATGTTTTGTATTTCAGTCTTTCAAAATTATTCTTTGAAGATTATTTGTAATTTTCAGTGCAATATAAAGGGTGAATCAAGATTAGATCTAGATTTAACTGCACAGCATATTGAAAGGTTCAAGATGGAATCCATTACTATTTTTGGTGTTGAGCAGCATTTTAGTCATCTTCTCCTTCTTCTTTTGGGCTTCATGGATTATGCTTGAGCATGTTCCGTCTTCACATGTTTTCCTTCCATTGTTTTTTGGGTCTACTGCATATCTCTTCTATGTGGTTGACTGAGTAAAGCTAATTTACATAGTCTTAAATTCTTCGTCCCATATATATTGTTACCAAATGTTTTGTTATTTTATTATTTTGCTTCCCATCTTCTTGTTTTGAATATGATCTTTCACACAGCTTCGAGTTATCTTCTGAAACTACATTTCATCATATGTTCTACGTACATTTTAGACGGTACAAAGAAATATTTGGGAGGCATTTACAATTGAAGATTTAAAAAGCAACTTTTTAGCTCACTGCTTTGTAAATGGCTAATCAGAAAAGGTTTAAGGAACACAATGGTCAAAAAATATAATGATCAGTTAATATTAGTTAATGATTAAATCTTCTGCTACAACTGATATTAAAACTAAGTTCTTGGACTGTTCTTTTTATTTAATAACTCAAACATTTGATTAACACAATATTTTCATTATTTTAATTTTACGTTCAATAGTCCCTCGTCATTTGATAGTTTACTCATATTTCGAACATTTTTAGTCCACATTATTTACTATATAGTACGTTATCCCATATAAATACTAGCACTGCTCATTACAATATCAGTATCCCATCTCAAAAGTATTCAATTTGAAAAAGAAAATGAACCAAAAATAAGGAAATGATAATGCAGACCTTTTAGCTATTAGTGGAATTTCTTTGCATGAAATGAAAAGCTAACAAAAAGTAGATATGAGATGAAGAAATAAGAAACAAATTCTACATTACTAGTGATAGTGTATGTGATCATTTAGAACATAGCACTGCTCATCATTTTCTTCTTTTTTCTCCTTTAAATGACACATAAAATTTAAAATTTTCAATTTTAATGAAAAAATAATGTATAGTCAATGGGATTATTATAATAGTGCACAAAGATTAAAATAATTTCTAAACAAGCTTCTGGGTCAATACAAAGCATCTCAATCGGGTTTTTCATCCAAGTTTTCTTGATCCATTGTAGCATTTGCTGCTCACAAAGTCACACGCACTTCCCTCTCAAACAGTGACATGCACTTCCCTCTCAAACCTAATTTACTACACTGTCACTCACATTGGGTGTTCAGTTGGGAGCTTTAAGCTTGTCCTGGCTGGGATAGTGCCCTATTGAGGGAGATTTCTAGTGAGGAACCTCACCAGTCAATGTGTTGGTCAGCATTGGAGCTCATGTTTCTAAAGGGGAGGAGCACCGTCACCTCCTTATGTAACATATGGTACTAATGAGCATAGCTGGTGACACACTTGGAAATATTTATCAGTCAATCAATCTAAATCCAATATTTACAAGAATTGAAGTAGATCTCACGAAGGATTTAAAACCGTATCAGATGTTTCCATTTTCCAAACAGGTACAAATTAGGTACAAAAGGCTACAAAAATGAAATTAAGAATTATTTTTTCTGTTGCGAGTTGTTTTTTTTTCTCCAAAAACATTTAATACTCTTTTCTATATGTGAATGAAAACCTATTCCAGGAAATTCAGTGTTTTTAGATTTTCAACATGGGTTTTAAAAGAAATAATGATCTACAAAAACCATACTTTCTTTTCTTAAAGATTAACTTGCACACCTTTTCATGCAATCTGTGGGGTGTTAGTGCAGAGATCAGTAATTTCATGAGCAGTAACATCAGTAATAAAACATACAGCTTGTTTGCTGATAAAAATAGTTTCTGTTACATAGGAGTGAATGTTTCTGGTTATCAATGGTTTCCGATTTAACTCATCGGCATCTTTATTTCTAATTCAACTAATTACAGTAAAAAAGAGTGGGTAGGGATTTTGAAGTGCAAGAAAACTTGAGTAGATAGTATTTCTCTCACATGTGTTACATATAGATTTGTAAACCCTGAGTTATCACAGACTCTGAATATGAAACTTGGTAATGATAAAAGTGTGTGTAACTACAATTTCTATTACATGAATATATTATCTCATTTTTTTCAATTTTTGTTTGACAAAACAGTGGTACGGGTCATGAAGTGTGGGGTAATTGCAATGCACCAAGGGCAATAACTCTGTCTGCTCTCATTTACTGCCTTCGATGCATGGTTGGTCATGATGTCCCATTGAACCAGGTATGTGTATAAATAATACATTATTGAATTTATCACAGCAATAGTTTTAAATATGATATCAAATTCACTTGAAAATCTTTGCATTTTTAGGGATGCTTGAATCCTGTAAAAGTTATCATTCCACCAGGATCTCTCTTGGATCCATCTGACAATGCTGCAGTTGTTGGTGGAAATGTTCAGACATCTCAAAGAATTGTTGATGTTGTTCTCAAAGCTTTCCAAGTGTGTGCAGCATCCCAAGGATGCATGAATAACATCACATTTGGTGAAAGTGAATGGGGATATTATGAAACAGTTGCTGGAGGAGCTGGTGCTGTAAGTATTCTGTCACTGAAGTTGATGAGGAATGGAGAGCTGAACCTTTATTCATAATTCTACTATGTTTAAGAGAGTAGATAGGGATTGGGGAATGCAGGAAAATGTGCACAAATTGTATATCTCCTCCCACATGATACATAGTTTTTCTTGCTTTTTGATAATAAAAAATTAATAGAATTATTGACAAATGAGTTACAATTACGTATACACATACTTATTACGAATATGTTCCCTTAAGATGTATGTTAAATGGTAGATTGACAGATGGATGATAAATGAAGTGAATAAAAGATCATTTTATGACATTAGGTATCCAAATTTATCAGAAAAATTAGATACTGTATGATTTATTAGAAACAACTGACTCAACACCCCAGAAGTGTGTTACTGTTTTTTGAAAGGAGGAATTACCCATCAATATTGCATCAACCAGATTAAAGATAAAAACTACTGGTGCTTAACAGCACATACTTTCTTGCATTATTTGTAACCTTTACAATTTTCAAATATTCAGAGAGTTCAACAAATATAAGATCTGCACCATTTTCTAAAGCATACTGTGCTCTACCAGAGGGAAAAAAAGAATAAAAATATGGAGCAGTTTTTAAATTTTTTATAAAATAGTTTTTATTTCAGGCAACTACTCGTACTGAAAAATACATTATCATATTTAAAGATTTAGTTTTACTAATAGATTTTATTTTTAAAAAAATCTATCTTCAAAATTGTAGTTGTAAAAAGACGAAAAAATTTTGAAGTTTTGGAAAATAATGAAACGAAAAGTAGATCTACCCTACTTGTTAAGCACGTTCTTTCCGAGAAAAAAAATATTTAACAAAAAATTTGGAGCCATTTTTGAGAAAATTTTGAAAATGTTACGGCTTCGTGAACAGAACCTCGAAAATCAAAATATCCGTTTGAAATTTGCAGGGCCTGGAGTTCGGTCATCGATCAGGGAATATCAATTCTGGAGAAAACCATCTGATCGGTTTAGGGTTTAAGAGTTGGCGTTTATCAAGACGCACACACAGGCATTTTGCCGTAAAATAATTTTTCAGTACCCACAAAATGTGGATTCTTACTACGCAAATGATTAGAGGATGTAAATTACTACATAAATAGGATCAAGATTTATCCACTTTTGTGGAACCAGGGTCTGGCAATGAGAGTTTTTCGAAAAACCGCCGTTTCCAACGTACGATTACAATAGTTTCTCTTCTTATTACGTTAGGCAAGAATGTAATCTATTAGTGACGCTACAAAAGCACGGATGTTTTCGCATTAGCATTGTTATGTAATATTACAATATCTCAATTTATATTCATATTCATCACATCTCAGAAATCGCTTGTGCAATTAATTCATTACAAATCGTACAGTATTAGGTGCGAAAACTAATTCTTTGGAAGCTAATACATCAACACAAATCCAAAACTGTGTTTCATAAGCCATAAACATTATCCAAGAACGATATAGAATTTTCAGAATCCCAATCTAACGTGTCGCGGTTTGTCCTTGTCGAATTGCGATCTGTGAAAAACCTTAAGCTTGAAGCGCGGGAAATTCAAATATGCAATTTCAATGGTGAAAAAAATACATGAAATTATTAATTAAAACTGTATGTGACTTTATTTAAAGATCAACGTGCTAGAGGAAATAATTAATTACATATTGGAACAAGACTTTAAACTTTTACTGTATTAGGGTCCTACAATATGAGATTTCCTGTCAAAAAATTGCCGTTTTTTCTCGCAGCATTCCAATACTTTCTCTATACTGCATAAGCAGTACGAAAGAAAAATATCCGTTTTCTATATTGTAGCTAGAGGCAAACTTCCCAAGATAGTTTTAACTTCTGCAATTTTTGAAAATTCAGAGAATTCTGAAAATTCAACGAAAGTCGGACCTGCACCATTTTTAAAGTCCGAGTTGACCTTATCTAAAAAAAAATTAAAAAAGACACTTGTGAGAAAACGTTGAAAATGTTCTTAAGGCTTCTTGTAAAGTAAAGTACTCTCAAAATCAAACTACCCGTTTCAGATTCAAGGAGACGCGACATTTGTCCGATCCATTGGGAAATATCAATTTTGGCAAAAATTCTGTTCGTCTTAAACGCTAGAGTGGTTTTAGCCGCTAGCGAAGTTTTAGACGGACGGACGGACGGACACTTTGCCGTACACTAATTTTATCAAGGACCCAGAACACGAATTCTTATTTCACGTGTTAGAAGAAGAAATTTTCTTCTTCTAGAAAGAAGTATTACCCACGTTTTTGGTGACCGAGGCATTCAATACTATTTTTCGTGCTGGAGAATCGCAGCTTTTCGCTTCAACATTGTATAACAGCAAATACTACGTAGATAATACGAGAGAAAGTAAAATAGAAGTTTGCAAATCAGTTCGCACGCAACATAATTTATGCTGCCTCACACTTTACCGCCATACCAATGATATTTAAATTAGTGTTCGTTTCCCTACAAGGCTATGAGTTATGTTTCTAATGTCAGTCTTTTTAGGATGTTTTGAATGGCACTCCCACTCAATAGCAAGAGTTGTTAGAAGTGTTTAAAGATATGCTTCATCATGAAGCCATAGCCATCTTTAAAATAATGATTTACAAAGAGTGGATTGCTAGAACGAGTTCGTATAGATCAAATGCAACACACTAGAATTATTCTAAAAAAATGCCATATTGGAAGTTTCTATGTATATTTAGAAATATAGATTTTTTGAGGAATTTGAGCAGTAATAAATATTGAAGCTTATGAGGCCCAAGCTTTTCAGTTCTCTGAAAAAAAATGTACTATGTATATATTTTTTCTTTATTCAGTTGTGAAATTTGTAAACCTAGAAAAAATATTTGTGATAATTAAAAAAAATCTATGTGATGAAAAAGTTGGAGGGCACCAAAAATAAAAAGTAAGCTTATAAAGGTTTGCCTAAGGGCTCATAAGACGAATGGGCGGCCCTGTTTCCGATCACCACTTTTGTCACAGATTATTTTCCACATCTTGAGTAAGTGTCTGAACTTATGTGTGAGTACTTATTGTTTTTACAATAGATGTCTTTTCTGAAGAGAAATTGACCTTTGTATCGCACGTATTGTTAAAAACGTGCTAAAACTATTGGGATTTATTATTTGTTCCACGCGAGACTTTAAAAATGTAAATTACATTAATTAATTAAATACCAATTACCATAATATGTTTGAGTCATGACTAAATTATTTGTAATTATAATGTTTATATTTTACTGATACGTTATTGCTTGTGATTTTCTTCGATAATAATAATAATAATAATAATAATAATAATAATAATAAAATGATCGAAGTGGAAAAAAGAATGCCACCTTGGAAAGACGGCTGGTGAATCGATAGAAAGCACTAGGAGAGATATTGGAGCTCACACAATTTAAAAATGGAAAATCTCAGAAAAACTGAGAAGAAAGGTGAAATAACATCCTCATCAATACAAAATTCATACGAAGCCACTACCCTTGAATTCAACAATAACAGAAACATCTTGACACCCTACGACAAAAACTTTTGGCGTTAACAAAACGCTTTCGACGCTACAGGAATTGCACTACGAGGAAGCAACACGAATTCTCTTTTTAACAGAAACCAGAAACATTCTACAGGAATATGTCAAAGGGCAAAGGGCTTGTAAATGATATGGAAGGTCAAAGCTTCCTCAAAGGCATAAATAAGGACTTTTGGAGTCTATCTGGTCATCTGCTGTGTCCCACAACCCAGATATGACGTGGATTGAAATGGAATATGACAGACACCAGATATCCTCTAATGTGTGAACCAATCATCACCGTGGAAATTGTCCAAGCAAGCTTTGAGCAAAGCACATAACTGGAAGGCACCAGGCAGTGATGGCCTCCACAATTATTGGCTCAAAAATTTACCAGCACTCACCCATCATATAGCTAATATAATTCAATATTTTCTTCACAATTCAGAAAATCTACCTCACTTCCTCACTGAAGGTAGAACATTTTTGTTACCAAAGGAGGGTGACACTAAAGACCCTCGAAGTACAGGCCTATAACCTGCCTTCAAACTTTCTACAAAACTCATAACATCTTGTGTTTCGCAAATGTATGAGACACACTTGAGGAACAGAGCATCTTAGCAACATGAACAGAAAGGATAGACCTGGATCTCAGGGATGCCAAGAGCAACTCATTATAGACTCTGTAATTACGGGGCAAGTGCTTAAAAACAAACTTGCGCAAGCTACATAGATTACGCTAAAGCATTCGACACCGTGCCCCATTCTTGGCTCCTCAATGTTTGATGTATAGAAGGTCCACCCATTTATCCAAACTTCCTGAAAACTGCATGATGCGATGGAATACAAAACTGTATCTCTCTAATGGAAAACAATCCGTTCCACACAGTACTATACACATCCGCCGAGGGATTTTCCAGGGGACTCTTTAAGCCCTTTATTGTTCTGTTTAGCCTGAATCCCCTCTCTATCTCTACTAATTCATTCTAATTATTGAATCGCTCTTAAAAAAGGGAAACTCACTCTTCTTCGTGTCTCACATTCCTTTACATGGATGGACCTGAAGCTCTATCACGACCACTGAGATTCATATCCGCAACGAATAAACGTGACTGAGAAGTTCACTGACACATTAGATGAAATTCTGTTTGATAAGTGCAGGAGTGAATATCATTCGCCGGTCATATGCAAGTTATAAATTTGAAACTGAAATAACCAAAGTTACCTTCATGGAACCCCATGAAACTTACAAATACTGGGTTTCCAACAGTTCACCCGAATCAAACACACTGATTACTAAGAATAATACTAACAAATTGAAGTGTGAAACGATTGCATGGGCTCTTAAAAACTCAACCTCTCTGCAGAAACCTTGTGCAGGCCATCAATTCATCTTTTATCCCGTGCTGACATACTCCTTTGGCTTATTAAATGGAGCAATACCGACTTCGAGCAACCTCCAGAGAACAATTCGAACCGCTATGACTCAACACCGAAACATCATCCCCATTAAAGTACTGAGCGTTTTACCTTCCAAGGTCCAAGGAGGGCGAGGTATGTAGATTCTCAAAATCTAACAGCTCTCAAATTTGCTTCACTACAGAAGATACTTCTTGGACATTGTGAGAGTTCCAGCAAGCATGAGCGCTGTTGATAACATATAGACCTCTGAACTTGAAAAATGCTTGATCCACTGATTCAACCAATCATTGAAACGGAATGAGAAAGATAACCTTATGGAAAGCAAGGCACTGCATGGAAGGTACCTCACGAGCTGTAGTAACCAGAAAGTCGAAATCTCTGCGTCGCACGCATGGCTCCAGCAACGGGATCTCTTTCCGGAGACAGAAGCCTTCATGATAGCTATCCAGACCAATGTACCAACATTGAACTACAGAAAACACATTCTGAGAGATTCTACCATTCATTCCGACTCGTCTTAGAAGACTGTGAGGCTGCAAGCGAAACACTATCCAACACGGACAAGTGGATGTCAGCACCACCACACGAGTGGAATACAAAAAGAGGCTGATGAAGTGGCGAAAGCAGGTACATACACGCAATATTGGCGATTGAGAACGGGCTTACTGCCACTTCCAGTGCCGTATATATAAAATGTGCCTCAGAATGTGCGCTTGAAGTAGTGAGCACACACTGTACTTGGGATCGCTCCAGTTATCACTGACAGACATGTCGCGGCAATAGAACCCCGTATTAACGTACATGATAGAAACCACAGCAGTTTTTCCTTATCGATATATCAATACCCAATACCCACACACATATTCGGGAAATATCAAGAGAAGATCCAGAATATACAATCTCGCCTATGAGTGCAACTCAGTGGACTTCAGTTAAAAGTGACGACTTGCTATAAAATATCAGCTTACGGGAGGTGATCCGAAAATGACAATCTTCGGGCACTGAGTGTCTTCACTTGAATACCAGAATGTACTATATATGCAAAAGACTGTAATTTTGACAATAATGCCGTATTGTCAGAAGCCAATCGAACCTTCAGTAAAGCAACCACACACCTGGTCATCATACCTGTGTTTGTTGACATACCGACCAGTAGATACTGTTGAATAATGTAAAGACAATAATAATAATAAATAATTAATAATAATAATAATATAATAATAATTAATAATAATAATAATAATAATAATAATAATAATAATAATAATAATAAGATAATAATAATAATGCCTTTATTAATATGGAGAAGGCTCCGATACAGAGTCAATATACACTGCATAACGTAATCTGCAATTGAAGATCGTGGTACGAGGGAAATTTGAAAAAGTTGAGTATGCTTAATATTCCCTTATTCAGAAATTATGGGGGGGGGAGGATATGAAAACAGGCAAAACAAAGTCTCTCTGGCTTTTGTGCCGTTCATCATTAGAACCCTTATAATGTCCTTGGTGCATGAATAACTTAAGTCATAAATATCAGCAAATAAATTATTAATGGCCCAAAAGAACGTCCCAAAAAATTCTAATCGACATCTTCCATCAACAATGTTAACAAATATCAATAAAAATCTTTTTCTCCATGTTATTTTTTTCAAATAACTGAATAAACACCTCTAAAAATAAACTACCCGTCGCCCAAGCTTGATTTCCGGTAGCTGTGCTAGTGAGTGAAATATAAAGATTAACTTTTGTGAGAGTTTGTAAACCTTTCTTTTCTCAGGGTCCTACGTGGGATGGCCGCAGTGGTGTCCACTGTCATATGACAAATACTCGAATTACTGATGCAGAAATCTTGGAAAGGCGATATCCTGTGATACTACGTCATTTTAGTTTGCGAGAAGGCTCCGGTGGCAAGGGATTCCATAAAGGTGGAGATGGCGTAGTTCGAGAATTATTGTACAGGCGGAAAATGACACTTTCAATACTCACAGAACGAAGAGCATTTGCCCCTTATGGAATGAACGGTAAGTCATTTGTTCAAAGAATCAGTTACTTTAACTTAAAGGAAATCTAAACAAAAAAACAACAACAAAAAACAAACGCGTAGGTTATCTGGAATAATTACTATTACAAACTTATGAATTTAATTCTAAAAACTTATGAAATTATATTTTTATCTGATTCCAAGAACTGCTAACACAATTGCACGATACTTTCCATGTTCTTGTAAATAGATTTGAAATAGGATCCCCTCATTGCAATGATTCTGAGATCATACTTCTGTCGGAACAAACGAATGGGAATGAATTTCTGATGTATCACTTTTAGGCGGAGGTCCTGGAGCCAAGGGGTTGAACCTGTTGTTAAGGAACGATGGAAGATGTATAAATCTTGGTGGAAAGACAGCAATTGATGTTGAACCTGGGGTAAGTAGGTCATTCTCTAAAAAGTTCTGCTTATTATAGAAATATTAAACAAATTAAAAACATCAACAAAAAAGCAACAACTGAAATCTGGATTTGAGCGGTGTGGCATTTACGTGTTCGAAATACCCTCCTCTGTACTCAGGGTTACCAACCTATTACAAAAGTGAGTGGGTGACAAGGGTTTTAGGGGTGGAAGTTCATGAAGTAAACAATGCTATTATAAGAAAGATTTATGCATATTTATTACAGACGAAGCAAACAATTCAGAAATTGTTATGTGAACCTGAGTGAAAGGATCTACGAAGTGAAGGGAATGGATTAATCCCACGTGGATGACGCATTAAAAATATTGCGTAGTGCAAGGCGAGCATTAAAAAATAGTGTTCAGCGAGGCGGTCTCTCTAAATTGTCTCTGTCCTTGTCTTCTCGTGACTTTTTTTCTGGTATGAAAATATTCCAAAGGAATAATTAGCAGTTTGAGCAGTGAGTCTCATCGCACGGAAAGGTTACTGCAGAACACGGATTTGACCTATCCAATAGCAGACTGCTCTGTCGAGACAATTACCGAAGTTGCATTAAATTGAACCTCGGCATCTTCAAAACTCAAATGTGTTCTGTCAGTAGAGTAAAAGCAGAAGAAAATACCCAAGAATCGCGCACTAACGTGGCGAACAAGCGACTGAATTGTTTGTTTGTTTGCTTCTTTGGTTGGTTGGTTGGTGATACGGTTAGTATCCTATGTGTTACGCAAGTAGTGGGGGTAATTTATGAATAAGTGAATGCCGAACTCCGCTCGTAACCAGCAGATCACTAGAGTACCCAATAATACGAGCTCCAACCAGTGTACAAAAGTTTATATTATTACAATTCAGACAAAAGTAATTTCTCTAATAACTGATGCGCAAATAAACATTGTAAAGATATTTGAGGGAACTTGGAGACGACGTAGCAGACATTGAAATATTTCGTAAATTCTGCAACTTTTCTTCTAATTCGTTTCTAACTGGTTACAATGTGAATCTTTCAAAATAATATTTGTTTCTTCATAGTGCGCAATACTCAACATTAATTTTCAAATGGAATATAAGTTAATGCCAATAATATATCTGCATAGACATTCGTTAATAATTTTTACTTAATGGTCAATGATACGGTGCTGCAGTACCTCTATTCTGCGAGTGAAACGTTTTTTGTGTACCGGCATTATAAACGACCTTTTCTGTTGCAAGAAATCGTTCATTATCGGATATTTTACGGCACAAATGATGACGTATTAGCATTTTACGACACGAGTGATTGCGTCATCACACGTTCAGCTAATCGCAGCGATCGAGGGGAAGTAAAGGTAAACGGAACAGGCGAACTTTTCTCTCACAGATGTCAAATATCCGAGACATCAAAGAAAAAAGTTTCGAAAAATTGAGTTTGATTCTCTTATAAATTTATAATGTTGTTGTACAAACAATAGCATAAGTAATTTCTTTATGTTGATTTATAAACTTATTGCACAACCTATTACAATATAACATTTTAATTTAGTATACTCTCCTGAGAGCTCTGGACGATGGCGCACGCGCTCCTGGCGGCGGAAAAGAAAACTATTTGTCCTGACGTAACTCATAATTGATTTTTCATTTTATTAAAAATTTGAATTAAAAAAATTACACACGACTATAAAGATATTTCACCCATCTGACTTGCTCCTACCGTCGCACGCGAGGAAACACTTGCCTCTTGTAGAAAAGGGGTCACTTGATCGCCTTCTATAATAAATTAACTACAGATCATAAGATCTACATATTAGTTTCAAAATCCATGAAATTTAGAACACTATGTTTCAATTAATGAAGTAAACATTTCGATTTTGACAATTTGTAATGCCCGACGAACGAGGCGGCAAGAAACGGAGCAAGACGGAGCGGGCTTGGGTGGAGGAGAGTGGGGTGGGGTGGAGGTGAGTGGGATGGGGTGGGGTGAAGGAGAAGTAGGGAGGGGTGACGGGAGGGGGACGGGAGGGGTGGGGTGAGGGAGAGCGGTAGATTCCATCGCTTATCGTGTCAAATAGATGTAATAAAATTCGGCCCAACCTGCATTGCTTCAAATAGTTGTTTCAATAAATTATTAATGATGCATAAAATTAAGTTCTTTTCTCCCTAATTAGGCTAAAACACAGTGTGCTTCTATTATCTTAAGAATATATATTCAAATGAAATGCACTCCTCAAACCAAATGCACTTCAGATTAATGATTTTCAAAAGATGATTTTAATAAGGGTCAAGAAAGCACTTTAATAATTTCTTCTCGTTTTCTTCGCGGGCAGAAATCTCATAAAAATAGACAACGTTTTCATCTCTTTTTGAGTTTGTGTGGGTAATCTCATTTTCTTCATACCGGAGAATTGGGCACATTTCCATGCAGATGACTGAATAAATTCCACCGCATTCCCGGCTGCATCTCGCCGGTTTCGTCGCCGATCGGAGACGTCGGGCGAGCAAACGGGAGGGAAAACGAGGAGGAAAAAAAAAAAAAAACCAAAAAAGAAGATGCAAGACAACGATAAGCGAAAAGATGCCGAGAGTGCTTTGGGCGCGCGGTTGAGGGCCTGGTACGCCTGGGTTTGGGATACGGAAGCAGCGTTCCTTCGTATTTAATTGCCTGTCTGGATCTGGCCCGGGGCGGCGTCTGTGCAGTTCCCCCACCCCCGCTCGCGCCTTAAGATCTCCAGCTCACCCGGCCTGGAAAACAGCGCCCACGTCAGGCCGTAGCCGGACTCCCCCCTCCCCCTCGCCCGTGTTTCTCGAACAGCGCGGCTTCGTCACTCGGGCTTCTACGCGAAAACAAGGGAGGCGCAATCCGCGTGCCTTTTAGGTTGGTTTCAGCAGGCTGGCCTCCCGCCGCCTGATTCCTATCCTGCCCACGGGCCGGGCGCGGCGCCTCATCTCTCTCTCTTCGTCTCTCTCTCTCTCTCTCTCTTAACCGCTTACTTTATTGCCCGGCGCTGAGCTTCGGGTCCGCGGCTCTCGCCTTCCGCGCCGTCTCGGCCGTCTCCCCGCCGCTGTAAAACCGAATCCGAACTTGGCTTGTCTTCGTACCCGGTCGCGGGGACCCTTGTTTTCCGGCAGTTTTCGCCACGCGACGCGGCAAGGCGCGAAGGGGGGGGGCGTTGGAGGATCAGTCGAATATCAATGGCGAGATAACGAGACAGAAGCAACGCGCCGCGCGACTGTCGTGTGCTTGCGTGTCTGCTTCCTCGTTCCCGCGCCCCGGGTGGGGTTAACGCCGGCGGGGCGGTGTCGAGTGCAAATGCTTATAGATGCACAGGGGAGAGAGAGAGAGAGAGAGAGAGAGAGAGAGAGAGAGAGGGAGAGGCGCTGTTGTGTAGGGCCGCATCTCACTTCCTCGCCGGCGTTTTGTCTCCGGCCCCGAGGAGCTGCAGACAGATAAACGCTTGGGGGCTGCGCCGTGTCAACACGGCCTAATGCTGCCCGTCCACTAGAGAGAGGAGTTGCTGTTTCACCGAAAGAAACGTTTACGTGGTTCATCGCTTGCACATTCTGACAAATCAAGTTTCAAAACTGTGCATCACAGACTCGTGAACATCATAAATGGAGTTTCAAAACTATGTTATGAACATCAGAAATTATCAGGTCATTAAACGAATTAAATTTAATTACAGTTTTGAAAAATTAATCCACATAAGTTAATGAGGGATGGTTAGATTGAGTAATTCTGCATACCACGGTTTTTGTCATAATTTCGAATTTCGATATTACTAACAGTCATGCATGTCTTCTCATTAGTTCCGAATCCTTAATGTGCCGTATAGTTGAGATGCTGGGATACATACATGTTTAAAATTACCCTTCTCACTTCAATCACGAGGTAAAAGTATTATTTTAGCCTTGTGTTTTTAGTATATCTCAGCCAAAATTCTATTGTTCAGGCTTGTTTTCGCGGCATATAATGCACCTTCACACCAGCCAACTGGTAAATATTTTATAAACTTTCGTAAACACATATCGTAGAGTATAGCAATGGTACTATTTGTTTATTGATTATCTTACGTTCGCTACTGTTCTATCATCTGTTTTCATTAGCTTCACTGGAGGTCAATGATCGGGTTTTGTTCTTTTCAGTCACAAGGCCCACTGAATTAATTGCTCCGTCATCTTCGATGTCGTGTACGTAATTTTCAATATTATTAGGGATGCAATTCTCCAAAGGAGAAGAACTAGCCAGATTTCCGAAGCCTTACAGCTAAGAGTAGAATTCAGATCACAAAGAAATAAAAGCAGTAGACGTACCGCGCTAGATAGATATATAAATGGTTATGCTATGAATAGTATATGCCTAGCAAGTACTGGAGAAATTAGTAAATTTTCAAACCCATTTATTAGTATGTCGATCCAAATTTAGGCGAGGGAATGGCGATGGAAACATCTCAAAGTGTTTGCAGTTCATTATTATTGATGTTCATCATACATTTTATGTGAACGTAAATTAAACTAGGCAACTCCATGTATCTTCCTACATATTTCAGTCAATCTTTGATACTGTGTACAGTTTGACGCATTTCGACAGTGTTGTGGAATAATATATCCAAAAAGACATTGAATTTGTACTCGTCGACAAATATTTACTTCTTGTCATTCGTCATCAATGTAAAAATGCGCATATTTAGTATTACCCTTTGTTTGCCCATCGTAACACAAACAAACGCGACATCGAGTGCCCAACGCGAGAGAAACATCACTGATTCGCGCGACAATTGCGATCTAACGGATAAAAAATTCGACAGTCCGACATGAAGATAAAAGGGAAATGGATGTTGACAGAAATAAACAATTACCCGTCAAATAAAAACATGATAGCAATCGCCAATAGACTAGTTATACAACCTCTGGAAACTTCATTATTTTTGGAGCAATAATCTCGATAAAATAAATATAAGTAGTGATATTTTAAAATCCTGTCTTCATTTGAACAAGAAAGAAAGAAAA